TCTATAAATTTTAAAACGTTTGCTCAACCCGAAACCTACCACGATACATCGAAAGAGACGGGAATTAATGTAAATATAAAGAATAGTATTATTATACTATTCTTTATTCTATATATCTATATACTTTATATCTATATACTTAAACCCTCTTAAATTTAAAAAGATGTTCCATTTAAAATAAGGTTGTGTTCAAACACTTTATAACTGGACCGTTCAAACGTCGCCGTAGCCCGCCGGCGTGTCACAATGTTTGCCCGCGTACTCCGGAGCGTGACAATTTAACGAGACTAGCTGACAGATCGCGTGTTTGCTAACAGTGCAAACACGAGGGAGACATCTTGCAGATTAAACGACCGCTTTGCGCGTGTTGAAACAAAATTGTTATTGTATAGATATGTGTATTTATGTATTTTGCAAAGTCACAGAGGTAGGTGAATTTTTTTGCAAATTTGCAATTACTAAAAGGAGAAAATAATTCAATTGCCTTCTTGAATTGTCTGCGTTAAGAGTCAGTCACGAAAATCTAACATCACTCAACAGACGGCATGACAAGCATCTTGAAATAGAATAGAATCATTTTACAATAAAGATTAACTATAAATAATTCTCATTGAAATTCAGTTTTTTTCCCTTTACCACTGGTTCGGAAGAAAACTTCTAGTCTTGGGAAGAACCAAGAAGAAATCCACCTAGACTTTCAAAATTCCCGTCGAAAAATAAAGATAGGAGACGGTGGTCTAAGTCACGAAGTATCCGGTACTACAATAGCAGATACGTTTGCAATTATAAAACTATAATACTCAAACGGTGCTCAATTTTAAGACGTTGTTAAATCTCGTGCTGTCTCTATCACTTTAAGTCAAAGTGACTGTGACACCACGAGACTTAACATCTTAAAATTGCGTAGCATTTGAGTATATTATGTCTCCAATATCACCACACAAGGAGTTTCTACTGTATATGGCAAATACTATTTTCATATCTTTTCATCTTATTAAAAGTACATGTTAAACATTTTATCCTTTTGTTTTTCAACCCGCAAATATCCACGGCTGGACATGGTCCTCTCCTGTTGTATGTATCTCCTGTTGAAATTCTTTGATTGCCACATTTCAGAGGTGGATTGGCGATCGCAATATTGGCTTAAACACCGTTTACGCCACTTACTTCACCGGTCCAGTGTGGGTATTTTACGTCTGGTGTAAACGAGATGGGTATACCATTTATCGGAAGTCTGGCATTTTCCACAGTCCACAGTAAAATTATAATATTTAAGAAATTTAAATATTTATTTTAAATTTCTAAAGAGACACATATGATACTGTACTGTATTTTATGATTTTCTTGAAGCAACGTCACACACATAATATCGGAATATAGATCAATGAAACGATTAGGTGGCCAATATATAGAATGGAAGCATGTGACTATAAGCAAGCGCTTGTCAGCGAGTGGCAGAGAGGTGTTAAAGTCATTTGTGATTCCCTGTGAGAGCAACGCGGAGGATTAGCGGTGGCAGCATGCCGACGATTACAGTGCATCACGTCCTATAAGATTAAACCCACTGACGTGAGCGCCCATTAACCATATACGATAATTTGACGAACACTTATCCCTAATGATAAGTGTTGTACGTGAGATTAGTACGCACTTTGTTCGCATTAATTAAAACTTTCAAAAGCCCTAAATAGTTAAGAGTTCTAACGATAAACGACAAATTATTTTAATATCGGAATAGATATTCATAATACGTGCTTATAACAGTACATAGCATCAACCGTAGTTTTAAAATTAAATCCGATCGGAAAGGTTAAGAAAACATACAACCAATATCGGAATTCTCAGGATATACGATGCAAGGAACTGATGTTTAGTTTCACATTACGCACTAACTTCAAGTCTATGGTGGTGATGTGAATAAATTCAAAATGAAACATATTTATCAAACGTTCGTTTTAGTTTAAATTAATAGTTATTATATAAAATTTTAAAGTGTCAACGTCATATGACTGGTTAGAGAGTGAACTTTTCAGTAAGCTCAACCCTATTTTCATTCTGTGCGCATAGTAATATTTAACGTAAATAAGTTCTATGAATAATGTAACTTAAAAATAAATAAAACTCTAAATAGATGAAAAGCGATGAACCTGCTTTCTGCGGAGACAAATCATTCAATCAGTACATTTACTATACCTCCCATGGGATAACAGACTATAAAGTGAAGGGGGAAGAAATAATAACAATACAATACCGGCTGCTCAAAGAACCACTGACAGGGAATATTTCATCTAAGAACGAAACCACACGATGCGTCGCTCGAGCGATACTTTTCCGGTTCCTACATAAATAAATTGCATACGCATTGTATGGCATAAGGGATTGCATTTCGGTAAATTCATTAATTAAAATTGTGGCCTATTACAGTCAACTCCTGAACTAGAGAGCCTCATAGTGGGCATATTTACCATAATTACCACGCTTGGCAAGCAAGTTGGCGACCGCAGTTCTTTATTTTTAACCATACGGATATGTATGAATTAAAAGAACTTTTATAAATAATATCAAAAGCGATCTCGTGGGTCGTCACTCATTTCTAACGTTCCCATGCTCAAAGACTTCTCTCATAATGACGTTATTCGATTTAATATTAAACGAGAGCCATTGTGGGCTTACTGACGTTTGCGTTTTAGAAAGTTTAAAGTTGAGCCGTTTGTGAATGATATGATACGGCTGTAAAGAGAATATTTATTACGTCCCACGAGGTCATAGATATGAATTCGTCAAGATAATTGGACGTAGTTGATCAAAGACTATTGAGCCCACAATAAATAACTTTTAAGATTTTCACGTTTTCAATTTGAAATGCATCATCATCATCATCATTACATCCCTTCACAAGTCCACTGCTGAACATAAGCATTCCCCCAAGGAATTCCAGAAAGCATTTGTTTATTCGTCCACTATGCGTTTGTTTCTTGTAAAGAACAATTCTTTCTTTAATGGTGTCCAAGATTAAATTTTCATGTTGAACTACATTTTTTATATATTAAGGGTGACAAACGAGCACACAGTTCACCTAATGGTAAGTGGATGCTACGGCACTCAGACATCTACATTTATCCTCGATTTAGAATCAAAAAACCGCTGAGGACTAAAGTGGCTTATATCTACTAAATAGGGTCTCTGGTTCTCTACACTTAAGTAGTACGTGTTTTTTTTTCATAACTTACAAATTTTAACTTTATTTGGAGTTGTTATCAGGAAGATGCTGTTTAGTTCCCGTCTGCCGCCTGTTACGACACCCATGCGACGATATGGATATCTACTGGATATTCTTACGACCCAACTACACGGTTAACAAATACCTATTCAAAGCTGCTATAAATTGAAAGATAACGCATCTGTATTAAGAAAATAAGTGCGAAGTAAACGTCTAAAATCAGCGTACGATTGGTCCGGTGGCTGTCGCGGGCCGCGCGGGACCTCTAAGTTGATTAAGTGTGTACTAAGACGTCTCAGAGCGCTTCGAAGCTCGAACGCTACTTTCCATACCCCGGAGGTTTAACTTCCGATGGACGTATCGCAGAACCGATATCTTATCAGTTCAAAGTTTTATTTTCGCAATTTAACCGACCATCTTTACATTCGATTCAAGTTTTGTTTACAGTGCTGTTGATCATTGTATTTTTACAAAAGTGTTTATGTTTATCACGTATTCTAACAATAATTTCATCTTCTCTTTTTTTTAAAAAAAAAAAACATTAGGATTTTCTCCTGTATCGTGGGGGTAGTTTACATACCGGAACAATTATTTGTAGGCCATACAAATACTTGTTCCGTGCGGGATTAGAACCCGCGGCCCTTAGCGCAGCAACTCATTGCTAAGCCACTGCGCCACGGAGCCGTCAATAATTAAATAATATTAATTATTATTATTTGGTACTTTTAAAGTACCCTTTAATTACGTTGTGGAAACTAAAATTATGATAATAAGCAATCAGTCCGACATTTTTTGTACGGTTTTTAAAATTTTGGGAAATCCTTTAACACGATAATTTAATTAGGTTACAAAACTACTATCATCATTATCACAGCCTATCACAATTCTACCACCAAGCCTCGCCCAAGGAATGCCACAAAACCCGGTCCTGTTCCACCTGCATCCGTCAACCTGCAACCAGTGCTGCTTACGCTCGCGTACTGGTACTCGGTGACTGCTCTCGAGGACCTTCCAGAAAATTATTGGTAGGTAAAGACAAACAGCAATTTGTTTTATTACAAGATTTTCAAACTTCAGTCGGTCAGAATCTGTTACAATTCTCTTTGAAAAAGCAAATAAAGATTCACATTTCATGAAATTCATCATTCCTATATATTTACATACCTATATGTACGTTCGTTATATATAACGCATTTTATGGTTATAATGCAGAGAACAATTTCAATTAGATAATTATAAGTATACAATCTTCAACGGTTTGTGTTTTATGAATGTTTAATGCGGCCGGTCACCTCCACTAGCCCTTTGACTCCCCGTTTGCAGATTGTAATGAAATTAAGCTACGTTAAAATAACAGTGAGGAGTACAGCTAATTTATTTAATTATACTTGAATAATTAATGATACGTTGACGAGATACGTCATTCGCGAATCAGTTATTTCATTTATTTATTCTTATTTTATGGAATAAGCGTGACAAACGGGCACACAGTCCACCTGATGGTAACTGTATGCTGTGGCCATTTACATCTATCCTCAATTAAGAATCAAAATGCAAAAGCGTTGTCGCCCCTGAGTACTATAAGATAGAATGCCTCGTTTTCAGTAATAAGGGTCTCCAGCTCTGTGCATTAAGTATAAGAAACACAGCAGCATTAAGCTGCTATTTTACGCTGGTAGTGTGTCAGTTGTCAAGAATTCGGTCGTGATATCGGGCGTCGCATATATAAAGGACGAATCGTAGCGGGCGCACTCAGTAATCAAGCGAGCGCGGTGCGGGCATGTTGTCGCTGTACCGCGCGTGGCTGGGGCCGAGCCCGTGCGTGGCGCGCCCGTGCCCGCCGCCCGGCGCGCACCGCCCCGTCCCGCGCCGGGCACGGGCCCCCACACCCGCACCCTCCCCCTCAACACCGCCACCGCCATCCTCACCAACATCCACTACCTCCAGCGAGCTGGACGTGGAACGCATCGAGCCTCCAGAACCCACGTCACACGCCACAACAGTACTGGACGTGGCATCGTGCGACGGACCTGTCCGCTTCAGGCGAGTTCTCAACACGGCGTGGCGCGAAGCCGATGGACACGAGTGGCCGTGCAGAACGCGTAAAGTTCGCCCCACGCTACACTACTACCCCTGCAAGACCTGCGGCTCCAAGTTCCCCTCCTACTACTTCGTGCACAAGCACCGGAAGCGGTGCCACGGCGAGGAGGTCGCCGCCGAGAAGCTGACGCCCGAACCCGACCGACCCTCCACTTCCAGCGCAGAGCTGTGCCCGCCATGATCACGCACCGGATAGTACGTTTCTTTTAATTAAGTGTATGATTGTCGTTGTCAAATAAATGTTTTGATATTATCCGGACATTTAATTTACGGTGATGCGCTTAAAAAAACTTTAATTATGTTAGATAATAACAGGATTAAGAGTGAACACAATACAGATGCGTTATGTTTTTTTTTTTAATTTTACAATGTGGTGAATTTAAATGTGTTTGTCGTAACTGCAACCATGTTGTCTTAAATATATTTGGTAGTTAATGAATAAACAACTTTTAACACAAAATCTTTGAAACCTCACATCATCTAAAAAGTCCAAGTTTAAAGAAATAAATAAAGTTTTTGTTTCAAAATTTCTGGTTTACAAGTGTTAGAAAATTAATTTATGTTATTGTACATGCATCCATATTAATACTATCTATACAAATAAATAAAATTGAACTGTCTGTTTGTAATGTTGTTAACAGTTGTTCACTAAATGCATATCAAAGTATACGGCACTAATAAAAAAAAACAATTTTTAAAATATTTGTCTGTCTGTCTGTTTGTTCCGATAATTTTATTTTAGAAAAAAAGAATTAGGGTTCCGCGCAAAAAAATCAATCAAATCGTAGTAAATTCCACGCGGGCGAAGTCGCGAGTTACAAGCTAGTATACAATACAACAGCTCATATGGATCTTTAAATGTTTGCTATTCAGGCATACTACAAAGATTTAGATGATATTTAGCATAAAGTTAAAACATGTCCTACACTATTATCACATGAGATAATTTCCGGAAAATATGTTACAGCGGGAAACGAACTTGAAAACGATTCAGTTTTCACGCGTTAGAAGTCGCAGGCAAGTTAAATCTGCACTCTGCACTTTCATTATATAAATCATCTATATCATTAGTTTTACCTAAAAATATAGACTCATTAATTTTTGTCATGTATTTTAGTGATATTATGAGTATTGAAATTTTTATTTGCTAAGTGCATAATAAGGTATATTAATCACAAACGATATATATATATATAGCTTTGTAACCTTCTACGAGAGTTGCACAACATATTTAGGAGTTAGTTGTACACGTTAAGAAAAGAGTTGTTTAAAATCCAATGAATGTTATTATAAAATATTCCGATTGTAAAAATACAAATATAAATTTAATGATAATCAAAGAAATTGAGTATTTGTCTTTACAACCCGAAATTAACGTTTGAGATTCGAACTCGGAACTCGCTCTACGACAGCATAAATCGATGAAATACTTTTACGTATTTCCAATTTTCGTGAATAGATTCAAAGGTGTACCTAAATAAATAAAAAAAAACTTTCAATTTTGTTACAAAAAATATTCTTGAATTCTTTAGTTAAAGATAAATAAGCGCTATTAACATTCCTTTGAAGTCACAGCCAAATTTACTTCTACTTATATTAATAAAATACGTACTGCGTAGAACTTGGGAAGACACGACAAGTTAAACGTTATAGATAAAGGATTTTTTTAAATCGATATATATAAATCTCCATAAAAACATTAAAATTATTAAGATAAATATTATCCCTTGGTATTTGAAATAGAATCTGCACTTATACTATTTCATTTTAACATTTAAATGGAAAAATTTAAGTGTTTTCAAATAGTCTTTACAGAAGTGCACTTGTGTGCAAATAGTAGTGATTAGTTTTTAAGTTCTTATTATGTCCTTAACTTTCAAAAATATAGATACACCCACATCTTGTATGTTTCCTTTGAAAATAAAAAAAAAAGTAAATGGAAATAAAATTTTACAAAATCTACACCAGGTTTACTACAATGGAGGCATTGTAGTAAAACTTTGGTTTACTAATGCCTTGCAGTGGCGGCGACTTTGATTTATTCATGCCGTATATGCGTTATACGTTTTTGTGTGCATTAAGTTGAAGTTACAGCCTAGCCATATAGGTCCCACTCCTAGGATGTTCCCATTACTGGAGGATTTCAATGGGAGGGTTTTAGGGCAAGATAGTGTCCGCCGCGCTGCCCCAATGGGTGTTGGCGAACTTCACATGTGAAATTAATTTAATTTTCAGATACGAGTAAGCAGGTGTCCTCATGGTTTTATCCTTCACCGCCGAGCACGTGGTAAATTATCACTTAAAATTGTAATTATCAATTGGATTGTTGTTGGCGGGTATCGAATTCGGGTAATGTTGTGAAGTGTCGGGTAACGGGTGTGTGAGAAATTTATAGCGAGTAGGTTAGTCCCTGAGTTACCACGGCTCTAGTGTACATTAGGTGTCTCTTTTACTTTTTGGACATTTCACATCTGTTAACATGTTTTATAAATATGCAATGGTTACGTCATTTAGGAATATAATATGATAATGTAGATGTTTCTCTTATATGTGGAAATAAGGACGTATATTCAATTGACATCCTATTTGACTAAAGTGATAAAATAACCTAAGATGGATTATATAAACATAGACATATAAACACACAGTGTTAAATCATCTTATTGGTTTTGCCGTAGTCGGGTGAATAAAATAACTCATAACAAGGTTACCTTGAGCAGACATTCAATTAGTTCGCTTTGATTTTGTCAAAGCGGTTTGAAAAATCGCAATAAATCAATGCGTTATTTCCACAACACAAACCGAAAGCACTTTTCTCTAATCTATGATAAACAAACAGAAGACACGAAATAAAAATTTGCAAAATATTGCTTTTTTCATCATAATAAACATGATTTATGCAACATTAAATGAAGGCTTATTGACGCAGTGGCTTAGCAATTAGTTGCAGCACCAAAGGCTGTGGGTTCGAATCCCACGCGGATTAAGCACCTACAAATAGTTGTTCCGGGTCTGGATGTTTTGTTTTTGTAAAATTTATGTATGTTAACTGCCTCTACGATACAGCAGAAAATCCTAGTATGGAGGTAAGTTTTATTAAAGAAAATCAAAAATAAAACATGTGTGGAAGTTTACACGTGGTACAGAAGAAAGTTTAAAATGAAATGACATATACAATATAAATATTTCACGGCAAACGATTTATTTAATAAGACAATTTTAACCACAAGTGTGGCATAAAATATAAGATAAAAAATTAATTTTATAGCAAACAAATGTTAGAATCCTTATTTTTACACATGCAGAGCCTAAATTTTAGTGTATTAAATCAAAGAAAGTTTTATTTTGAGTAAAATGTTTTGTAATCTATGGGGGAGGCTTAAGTTCATCAGTGGACTATTATAGGTTGTGATAGTGGTGGTGGGGAAATACTTTGTAACAACGGTATCTACTTCATTCAGTCATTTTATTCAACAAAATTTGATTAACAATCAAGGTGGTGGTATGTCTTAAAGATGCTAGATGGTCTAAACACAATTAGTTTAATATAATATTCTATTCCATTCTCTCGCAAGTTAAATCCTATAGATGTATATATGTTTGTGTGTGTTTGGTGTCGCTTTTTCGTATCGTCGAGTTTCAAATCACAACGATACTAAAAAAGTTTTCGCTTGAAAAGTGATGTAAGTGAAGTGGTGTGGTGGGGTGGTGTGGTACTGACCAGGGGGATGAAACTGTCATACAAATTTACAAGAATAAAAAATGCACCGAAAGTTCTGCCCTCTAGTGAACAAGGTACATAAACTTGTAGGCTAGTTTTGTTCAGCGTTGTATAGATGGCGTTAGTTTAGCCAAAACCCCCAGAATCAAAAGCCAAAAAAACCTAAGTCTATGGCAGTTTTGGTCGATGGTTATGTTTGACACACTCGCTTGACAGTTCTTTCTAATGAATACGAATATTATTGATACGATAATTCAGAAAGAGAAAATATTTTGCAACTTTTCGTTCCTCTCGTGTGAATATCATAATTTAGGCTTTATGATTATTTACTCAATTTAACAATAAATGTGGTTGTTCACAGTTTATGCACCAATGTTAACAGGCTGCTAAATGGAAAATTATTAACTACTGATTTGTGATTGTGAAAATGATAATGTCAACACTCAAGCTATTAAATATTATAACATTCATAAAAGATAATAAATACATAATTAAAATTCTGTTCAGTGTTTGATATTAATATTAAAATAAAATCTTATGTGAAATAGGTTAAGTTTTATTAGTGTTAATGTTATCTGGTATATAGTGTATTATCTATGGTACTGACCAGGCTCCGGCGTGGGCGCCTGCGCTGGCTGCGGCGTGGCCGGCGCGCTGCCCGCCGCGCCCCCCGCGCCCCCCGCGCCCGCCGCGCCACACGCCGGCGCGCACGATGTCGCGTACGCCGACGACGACGACGTCTGCACACCAAATCAACAATTATACAACCTTGTACACAAAGTTTCTGACGGCAACTTCACCGGCGCCGGATTACCGCTCCTCTATTATTCCTTAAATAATGGGTTGATGTGGATTTTAATAAGTAAAAGTGGTGCGAAGTGGTATTTAATGTCTGCACATATGAACTATTAGTGGAAACGATAAAACAAGTACTCCGATGGTGATGTGAACTCGAAGGTAATGTAATGTTGTCCGCTTAGGCGCATTGAGATACTATCGCCAAGCTCAAACTGCCGTCAATATCTCATAAAAACTTCGCAATGTGACGCATCAACATATTGTCAAGAAGGTTACCACGTAGGTAGAGCCATTCTGCAGCTATAATAGAAGTATAGTTGTAGCACGAATGGGTCGGCTCGACCGGGAAAGGACCACGCTCTCACAGAATACCAGAGTGAAATAGCAGCTTCACGCTGCTGTGTTTCGTTTAGTGAGTGTAGAGAACCGAAGACCCTTTTAACTAGAAACGAGGCATTCCATCTTAATCGTCACGGGTGACCACGCATCTGTATTTTGATTCGTAATTGAGAATAGATGTAGATGTCTGTAAGCCACAGCAACCACTTACTATCAGGTGGACTGCGTGCTCGTTCGTCACCTTAAAAAAGTGTACTATATAGGATAATTTATTTTTACTTGATTTTGGCAGAAGTATAATCGTAAGATTACATGACCAAAGAAAGAAAGAACTTTGTACACCTTTATAAGGCCGGCCGCATATTGTAAGAAAATTTCAGACAGAAAATTGCCGCGTGTCGGACAACCATCCGAACACCCTGTTTGTGTACGATCAGAAATCTCGTTCTGATAATCACATTTTTCACCGAAACTCCATACAGGGCATGTATCATTTTCCACCTCAGTGATTAAATTTCTGATGGAGTGCGGGGCTAGTACAAAATGTATGGAGTTTTCTTTTCTACCAGTTTGCATTCATTCGGCGAACGTTAGAAGTGGACGGTTGGATCAATTAGAAAATGTATGCGTAGAGTGCCCTCCGGCGTATTTTTTTTTTTGACGGAATATTTCTTAAAATGTGCGGCCGGCTTTAATACATCGTTTACCTTTTTTTTTATAAAAGTGAAGCGACATATGAACTTACAGTTTACCTGATAGTCATTGACAATTAAAAGTAATTTGAAACGAAGATGGCAAAATTAATGAATTAATGCAGATGCATTATCATCCCTGAGGACTAACATGGAATAACTTACAACCTGTAATTACACTGGGTCTCTTTACTCTTCAAATCGGAACACAAGCACTGCTATTTGACGACAGGAATAGGTAAAAGACTAATAATTTTTTTATTAGGTTAAGGGTGACAAGCGAGCACACAGTTCACCTGATGGTAAGTGGCCGCTGCGGCCCATAGACATCTACATCTATCTTCGTTTGCGAATCAAAATGCAGATGCGTTGTCATCCGTGAGAACTAAGATGGAATGCCTGTATTCCAATAAAAAGGGTCTTCGGTTCTCTACACTCACCATATGAAACACAGCAGCATTAAGCTGCTATTTTACGCTGGTAGTGTGTCTGTGTATTCTGCGAGAGCGTGGTCCTTCCCCGGTCGAGCCGACCCATCCGTGCTACAACTATAAAATTAAGAATGATACCTACCCAAACGGACTATTTCAAAGAAAAGCGAGTACTGTCACCAAGAAGGTTCTACATCGTACATCAGCCAAAAATACCCTCAAATATAAGTGAGCACATAAGTGTTTCACTGAATTTGAATAAAAAAGTTAAAGCCAGTGTGAGAAAACGTGTAGTGATTGAACCAGTCTTGCTCAATATTTATATTTCTTTTAAATATTTGTATTAAACCTAGAATCTCTAATAAGGAATATTCAACTGTATTAAGATGTAACAAGTCCATAGGTTGAAACAGTAATGAAAAAACACGACTGTGTAAAAATGTTTACTGAAAAGAGAGAAGTTTTATATTTTATGTCACTTCTATAACTAAGATGATTTTAACGACATGCTATATTTTAAAATCCATCAAGCCGTTCAGGCTACGGAGCGAGCCAATGAAATAAACACACACATACACTCGAAAAACATTACCCTCCTTTTGGGGCAGTCGGGTGAAAAGAACAGTCGTTATGTTAAAATACGCAAACATGCATACTAACAGTGATAACGCCGACGCTGGTGGCAACGCCGTTGTAGGGTGTGGACGTTGGCGTGGTGGCGGGCGCGGGAGCGGCCGCGGAGGCGGGCGGCAGCTCGGCCACCAGCAGCGTGGCGTCCGGCGCCGGGCTGCCCGCCGCCGCCGCAGCGCCGCCACCAGCCGTGCTGCCCGTCGCTGGCGCCGGGCTACCCGCCACGGGCGTCACCGTGATCGTCACCGTGCCCACACTCGCGACCGCGCCCGTGCCCGTGCCCGTGCCCGTGCCCGTGCCCGTGCCCGTAGCCGTGCACGTAGACGTGACGGGCGGGATCGGGGCAGATGACGCCGGCGGGGGAGACGGCGGCAACGGTGGTGTCCGAGTAAATTCTGGCCTGCCAACAAACATAGTAAAATAAATACCATATGTCATTTAGCAATATTATAACATTAGTACACGGGTTTTCTCTAACACAGCCCACATGATGGTAAAGATGCTGTGGCCCATAGATATCTACATCTATCCTCGATTAAGAATCAAAATGCAGATACGTTGTCACCCGTGAGGACTAAGATGGAATGCCTCGTTACCAGTAAAAAGTTTCCTGTTCTTACCGTACGAAACACAGCAGCATTGAGCTACTATTTTACGCTGTTATTCTGTGAAATACGCTTTCACAGAATACCAGCAAAAAATATCCAGCGCAAAATGCCTTCTACCTCGGTCAAGCCGACCCATTCGTGCTACAACCATAACATAGCTGCAGCATGGCTCTACTATGTAGAATTTCAATGTACAGGTTTAGTCATCATTCCTCTTCATCATTATAAGCCTACAAAGAGTCTACCGCTGGACATATGCCTCCCCCGAGGCGAGCGAAATCTATTACATTAATACAAAGCAACAAATTTGTATGTGTGCACATAACTAACAAATACCAGACACAAACAATTGAATAGAACAAATATTAAATTTCAAATATGCATTTGATTGCACTATATTAATCAAATAATTTGAATATTTTCATATCGGTATATTTTCCTCGTTTTTAGGGTTCCGTAGTTACACAACAAGGAACCCTTATAGTATCGCCATGGCCGTCCGTCCGTCCGTCCGCGATTTTGCTCAGTGAGCCTAGGTGCTATAAATCTGTAATTTGCCATGTGTTGGTACGACTCCTACAAAAACGGACTCCTCGGTAGGTTAGGAGTATCACCTAGTTAAGTTTTTACGCCCATCGCTAGAAGAATCTACCATTTATATAAATCAGTTATCTTTTATACATTAATGTACAACACAATCATCATCATTACAAATCCATAAAGAATTCTACAAAGCACGTTTCAGAGCCACCTGCTATCATCGAATTTCTGCATCTTTAACCAGGTTGTCAATATATAGTGGGAGGACCGCCTTACACTGCATTTGTTATATGACCTTTCTTCTACGTGATAACCGGCCCATTGCAAATTCAACTTACTGATCCGTTGAGCTATGTAGGTACTTTGGTTCTACTGACATATCTCCAGTAGAACCAACCTCATAACCAGATCATGCAGAGAAACTCCGAGCATAACTCTCTCAATATAACATAATAGTTTAGCATAAAAGCCAGTAACAATTCCATGCACATTATTTAGCAGCAACTAAATAAACTGTTTCGAACATACAAAAGAAATTGCTTATGAACGAGTAAGAAAGTTTGGGGATTTAAAGCTAATGGTGCACACCTCCTAAGAATACCATGCGACTTTTGTTATATGTCAATTATTAATTAAATTTATAGCTATATTGCACTCTACGAACTTAAATTACTGCGATAACTAAGGGGATACGCCGCGGGGTGAATGGATAATTAAAAGAGTGGCGGATTGAGCTAATTATGTTTACCATGCGCCCCCGCTCTACTCTCCCCGTCCCGGCCGCCAACTCCCGTGATGCGGCCTTGTTTGCGATTTAACTACTGTATAGTGATTAACCAGATGAAGTAAAGATGCTGGGAATTCATTAGTGTAGCATTTCACTCGTGTATTAATTATCAAATAGTAAAATCAAGTGTATATGCGTTGCGTGTTGCCAGTGATGGCAAATGGATCTGAGACTGACGGTCTTTCACCGCTAGCCGTATGAGAAAGCTCAAGGTCGCTCAGCGCTCTATGAAGAGGGCCATGCTTAGAATTTCTCTGCGTGATATACTTCGCATTGAGAATACCCTTAGTGGAACCAGAGTAACCGATATAGTGGCGCCACTTGGTTAGATTATTTTGAATGACATAAAAAAAAATTACATTCACTTTTATAATAATACTTCACAACTTAACACTTGGTTTCGACAATTTAGAAAATATTTAACAAATAAAATTATTATAGATAATAAACATAATTTAAAATTAAAACTTTTGTACAGCCGACTTCAATATGAGTTATTAAGAATAACTCAAAAACTATTGGTCTGACTTTGATCAAATTCATATGGGACCACACGAGAAGTACCAGCTTTCAAATAAAAAAAGAATCATCCAAATCGGTTCACCCAGTAAAAAGTTATGAGGAAACACACATAAAAAAACATACAGTCGAATTGAGTACCGTCTCCTTTTTGGAAGTCGGCAGAAAAATTTAATAAAGAAATATAATCTCAGCCGATCTCGTTAACATGTAACAGACTTAACCACAATAAAATCCATTGCTGTGGACCGCTTATTTGTCTATCATTAAAATTCGGCCAATTAATACCGGGCGGGTAGTTATCGCCGGTGGGGTTTGAGCAAACACGGGGCGGGTGCACCGCGCGGTCAAATTTACCCCTAAAATTAGCACTGATTGTCTCCGCTCGGTGCCGAAATCTTCGAAGCTGAATTACAATTATTATTGTTGAAAAATCCATTATTTTATTTTAATTTAGTTAAGAGACGGCTGAAAATTACATAAAATACGCTTTTAGAATATAATCATTTAAATTTTAAATTAACAATTTCATTGATCCCGGCGGAGATCGAACCCGAGTTGGTTGCGTACTGTTTAATATACAGCTAGGGCTATGCCGATTCTCTTTTGCACAGTGAAGATAAATAAATTTAAATCCCGTATTCGAGTATGTCGCATGTTCGAAATCTGCCTAGGTATGCAACGGGTGGCATCCTAGTGATGTGGAATTAGGTCACGGGCGCGCACTGCTCGAGGACAATTGCACAAGATTCATTCAACATGCTCCTCGCTATAGTAAACAAACACACGCGAGCCTTTGAATGAGCTTAGATCTCTAGGCTCTTAAATTATAAAATAATATTAATTTTCGACATATAATTCATAAGTATATAATTCTTCTGTACGTGTGTTTGTGACTGAACTGCTCTTAAACGGCTGCACCAATTTTGATGATTTTTGTGTGTGTTTGTGTGTGTCCTTGGATTTTTTAGTCTTTTTATAATAAATGTTAAATTAATTAATTGAAATTTATGCTTATTTCTGATTTAATTAAGTTATGTATCTGTAACATAATTACATAGAACACGAATTTCTTATTTTTGTTGTTTGTAGCCAAGAGCCACCATGTTTTCCGTCCAACGAAAAGTAGACTAATGACGATGGCCAATAGCATTAAAGATGTAAAACTAGAACTGCCAATCACACATCTAGTCTTCCAGCCGCATGGCACCCAAATTTGTATGATTGGATAAAAAATAGGAATAGAAAAGTTAAACTAAACATTTTGAGAATTTAAATATTATCGCTATTAGATAAATTTAACTTTGAATTTGAATATTTTTATTTCTATTTCTGCACACATTGCATTCCCACCGCGATTTGGTTATTGTGAAAAAAATATCGAGAGGCCGAACGTTTCTTAATGTTTAATGACAAGTTGGCACTTTTAATATTTATTACAATTAATTAAAACTTAAATAGCGCAAATTGAGTAGCATTCGTTAGCATTATGAAAGAAGCCAATGCTTAAAATAGTATTTAAATAAATCCGACTGCGTAGAAAAGTCAACTGAAAAGAGAAAAATTCAAATATTATATAAACCTTTGTGACTTCCCACAACTAAGACGAATCTAACGACACCTCACGTGTTGAAATCCATTAATCAATTTTAAAAGTATTCCATTTTGCTTTTATTGACTACAACGTAAAGAAATATATTTGTACACCACACTGTGATAGAATACACGAAATAAATTCAAGAATCATTTATCTTTCTGACAATGTGCTTTTTATATCATTTATATGTACAATATGATTGCTAGATACGACTTCATGCGACAAAACGTTGGAATCTTGATTTTTAGGCGCTACTAGAACATACCTATGCGGTTTGCGCTCGGCATGCAATACCTACTATAATTTTTACTAACACCTAACTTACTGTATTCACAAATAAATAAATGAATTTGAATTAAGCTTCAAAGCGTAGCAAAGAAAGAGACACACATCCATACTCTAAAACATTACCCTCCTTGTGGGGCAGTCGGTGAAACAAAACAACAATTGCATTTCTTACATAGATACTATTTCTCAACAGTATTGTTGCTTCTTTTTTGTATAACAAAACAAGATTTTATTTTGTATGATTTCTGGGATTCGGCGGTATAAAATAAGATATTAATAACAATGTATTATTTCAAAACTTTTACACTATTTATGAGGCAGTGCTTCACTGCTATCCCACCTGATGGTGAAAGATGATGTAGCCAAAATTTATCATTACTAAATGCAAGCAAAAATAAATCATAACAAAAACTTAAGCTTTACAAATTAATGGAATAGGTCAGAGATACCAGTTATTTCCAAAAAAAAAGAAATTTGAAAAAAATGAACTTTTTTCGACGTCCCCCAGTGCTGTGTTCCTGTGCCGATCGTTGCTTTTAATTAAGGCAATTAGAAAGATGGGCTGGCGTGGTGTTTGCGTAAAAATCTAAACAAGCCGCAGTAGGAGGAACCGCTAGGGATGTGCTCGTGTATGTATCGATCGTATGTATTTACAAATTTGTTTACCCAACAAATATGGCAAAGAATGTGTTACAGAAACAGTGATACATATTTGATAAATACGTAGAAATAATGTTAACACTTTCACTGTCCGGTTTGCAGACACAATAGTAAGACAATAGCAATGACCTATATGTAGTGCACGGGACAGCGAAAGGGTTAATTAGAGCAAAGCTCAAAATTTTCTTTTTTCTATTTATTACTGCCTCATAAAACTTAACAAGGAATCAAGGTGATTTGAACGCGAAAAAGCCAAGATATTATATCTTTTGTCAACAAAAAAAAATTTTTCCAAATGAGACTTATAAGTTATGACAACAGATAGCCGGTTTTTTCACTATTATGATGATAGACAATTATCAACATTTTCGTTGTCATTACAGCCCATTACTAGGCAGGCT